ACTTTCTAAAAGAAGACATTTCTTGTACTCTTCACATTAAATGTCCATAGATTGATCGATCTTCCTTCTTTTTAGTGCTATATTAAGTTATTTTCTTATATCGATTGTTCAAATCGTATTTATATTTTATATTCTTGTGCGTCAAAGTTACAAGAACTTGTGGTGATGACAATAACTATACTGTATGTTGTAATAGAAGTAAATCGTAGGAACCAGGACATTCGATGCTCACTTTGTCACGACTTTATTTTTAGACCTAAACTGAATCATTGTAATAAAATCTCACTTCTGTTCACATTATTAACGACATATTTCTTTCAATTTTCTAAATCCATCTATTTATTACTCTTTTGTATATGTATTTTTTATTTTGTCGGTTTTAAGTTACGTTTCTAAAATGTGTGATTGTTGTTATTGAAGATTTTTATTTCATTGAGCTGGTGTTTTACCCTCGTTTTTGTTATTATTTTACATAATTTTCCATGAATTATTATAACATAGATGATTTGTTTTTTTTAATCTATCTACGCATTACAAGTTACGGTATATGGTAAGTTTTTGCATATTATTATAATTATACTTGTAAAATCGACATAGAAATTATCTACTTAAATGATGTTTTGTTATCAATTAATAAAATTATAAAATTAGAATGAGTAGGCCCACATGTATGGTTCTCATATTTAATTTTTTTTTCATTAATACACAAATATTAATAAATTTCTCGAAACTTAAATTGTATATAAAGCTGGGCCGATTTTCCAATTAACGTATTTGATATTTATATACTAATGAATTTATTTTGCAATTCTACTTTATACCTTTATGTTGGCGAGGTAATGCACAATGCTATGTGCAAAATAGAATCACATAAATGTCAGTTTACTTTACTTGCCATTAATTTTACAGTGGCAAAAATTTTAGTGGATACCATAGTTGGTCCGATACACATAATTTTTACAATAATTTATTCTTAGCTCTGGGACGTAACGTAATAGCTACCATTTTGTTTAGATTTGACAATGAATCAAAATCTTGGCTTCCTTAAAATTGCGCCTTGAAAGATTTACTTACGTATATTTTTTAGAGTTATTTAACCACGCTTATTTCTTATCTTCTTTACGGTTTGTAAACGTACGTTATCAGCGGAAGACGAAAAACAATCACATTACGTGCATTTTCCTTGTTGGCTTTATCCGTTATTATTTTGCATGACTTTAAGTAAATCTCATTTCGTGAAATTTTGCTCTTTTTTGTTTATAGCTTTATTGTAGTGATAATATTCAAATACATTACTAAGTTTCTATAGAAAATTGACTTTTTATATAGCTACTGTCCCTTCTAAAACTTTATATTTATACACACCAAGAAAACAAAATGGCTGCCATACAATGAGACACACGTCCCATAAAATTGTTCTATTTTTTGTTTACCCTGTCATTGAATATAATATAACTGTACTATAATCATTATACATATATTAATTCATTTACTGTAAAATTTATTTCGATATTCTGTCACTTTTTTCTTCTTAGTTTTTGTCCTTTGATAATAATAATAATAAATGTTAATAATAATAATAAATATTCATCGCGTTATAACAAAACAAGTCCAATCGCTCCCATATATGTGGCGTTTCCTTCCCATCAGCTCCATTATGCCTAACTTATTAAAAATCTAGTCTCAAAACCCTGAATAACCGCCGCGGACGATTAATATTACCTACCACATCTTCTTTATTACACGGTAAAAAAAATGTTTTATACAAATTGTACGCTCATAACTGCTCATAAATCCCAATTTAAACGCTGTTATTAGAATAAATATTTTTATCAAAATATTTTTCGATATAAACATTAATTCCTTTTATAAGCGTCATAAACATAAAATTACTTAAAACTCGAGTGATTTATGTAATATATTTTTCTGTGTACAATTATATACCTCCGTTTCTCGTCTACTTTTAATGTGTATCTAATTCGCATTCTCTCTCTCTCTCTCTCTCTCTCTCTCTCTCTCTTCCTTCTTACTTGTATTTCTTTCACTCTTTATTATCCACTGGATTTTCCTTTTTTATGAAAAAGTTGGACTTTTTACAAACAGAGACATCATATTACGTGCGTTTCTGATCCAACTGATAGACAATAGATAATTTAAATCAGTCGCCTTTTCATTCGGAAGTTTTAAAGGATTATTCGATTGCTACGATTAGAAAACCATTGTATTATTTCCTTTTCAAGGATTATGATGATTTTTGTTTCTCCGTGGTGTCCATTGCTTTTAACAATAATATGCGCGTAACACAAGTTGTTCAAAATTCGAATTAACAAGTAATATATGCAAGTTTATGACAATGATAATAGTTCAAATAACGACATAAGAATAACGAAAATTATAAATTAATACTTAGAAATATAGTATAATAATAATAATAATAATAATAATAATAATAATAATAATAATATTAATAATAATGATAATAATTATAATGATAATGATAATGATGATAATTATGATGATAATAATAATAATAATAATAATAGTACTGGTAGTAGTAGTAGTAGTAGTAGTAGTAGTAGTTGTAGTAATAGTTGAGTAGTAGTATTAGTAGTAGTAGTAGTAGTAGTAGTAGTAGTAGTAGTAGTAGTAGTAGTAGTAGTAGTAGTAGTAATAGTTGAGTAGCAGTGATGGCAGTAGTAGTAGTAGTGGTAATATAACGATAATAGTAATAATAATGATTAGAATGAAGATGAAATATATGTTCATAATTATAATGATGATATAAATATCGATTACGATGCTTGTAGTGGAAGTGGCCTTGGTGAAAATGATGATTTAGATGATTATAATGATGATGATGATGATGATGATGATGATATCGCTGTATGATAATCATCCAATTGCGTATCATATTTCTACGGCGGGAGGGGGAATGATTTCGGAAGGGAATTCGAATAACTGGATTGATTCAATTAGCTGAGTTATATTATATTACATTCTTTATGACTTAAAGAACATGCATTAAATTGTTAACTGAAAAATCTCGATGTTAAATATAGATTTACAAATCAATCTTACTGTATATTTATAATTAATGAATATTATCCATGCTATCATCGATTGCCTCTCATTATTTATCGAGATAATTGGCTGGTTTTCAGAAGGTTCCGATATTTTACTTCTTCCTTTCATTCTTATACTACCATGTATTATTTATATTCATGGTGGTGCAATTTTTTAAAATATTTCCTTTCATAACCCCTCCGCCGCAATTTTTTTTACTTTTTTAGTCAATGCATGCATTCTTTAAGTGTATTTAACAGTATATCATTAACTACACATAAACAGAAACTCGCGTGTTTCCATATTTGTGTATTTTTCTATTCCTGTTCTTCTCGCTTATCATAAATTACGCTGATGAAATGTGATTCTCTTACATTTTTCGCGTTAATACAATCATTATTTCTGTACGTTACGATTACTTTACATGTTATCTCTTACGTGAGTCTGTATTATTCGCCATTCAACTTTACCTAACCACTAAGATCATACATTATCTATGTAATATTGAATTAACTATTATTTTGTTATCTTTTCTGGTTTGTTGACATATGCATATATATTCAAAAAACCTCGTTTCTGTTCAACTTAATTTTTCCTCAAATATATATTCACACACGCATCGTATTATTAACTGCTTATCTATGTAGCAATCAATAATAAATGTTATTAATTATGTATTCATTATTATATTATTACTATTATTATTTATTATTTATGTTAGAGAATAGGCTATTGCCAAATCGCTGGTTCGGTTACGGTTGAATCTTCTCTCCTCAACTATATCATGCAGGGTTATGTATGGTATCGTCGATGTGTTGTTTTGTGTTCAATGTTCACTACGAATTCTTTATCTCTACGCATCAAGTTCTTTCTTTCTTTAAAGCGTATGTACGTGTGTATTCATGTCTCGTTTGTCACTTTTATCTCCCCGATTTTCAAATTATTATCCCGCCTTCTACTGTTCTTCGTTTTATACCTGCCAGCTTATGCGCATTGCCTTTTTACAATCCGGGCTCTTCTTCTCTTGCGCCAATGCCTTCATCGTTTTTCTCGTTTTATTTTTTTATCCACGCTTTTTTCGCTTAGTAGTGGCCGCTTTCTACTCCGTTTCCTTTTCTCTCGCTCTCATCTATAGCCATGGGTATTCGCGGCCGCATGCGCGCATGCGTGTGAAACGCGGGCCTACATGCTTATATATATATATATATATATATATATATATATATATATATATATATATATATATATATATATATATATATATATATACAAATACATATGTCAAACATACACGGCTGTCATTTCCAGGATGAGAATTCTGGAAGAGGAAACGGCGCTTTCCCTCCGGAAAACGATCATTGCTTGTGTTTCTGAATTTTGCATGCTCTAGTCCTTCTACTCCTTTTCCCCCATCATCTTTAACACCACTCGTTTCTTTTTTCCTTTGACTTTTCTTTCATTTCTTATTTTTTATTATCAGCATTTTCCATAAAATTTGATGCCAAAATTTTTACGTTTCACGGTTCTTCATTATATTTTTTTAATATTTGTCGTTTTTTGCCTTACTGCTAGTCTCTCGTTCTTAATCACTACAACGATCTCCATGCGTTGAAAACGTAGTTCTATGGTCGGCTTCTCGCTATGTCTGTATATATATATTTATATATAAACATATATATATATATATATATATATATATATATATATATATTTATGTATATATATGTTTTTGTATACATATATGTATATATAGACACAAACACACGCGAAGACGCACACACATACACAAATACGTATGTGCATACACATGCATATACACATATATACATATACACCTACATACATATATACATGCATACACATACATATGCATGCATATATATATATATATATATATATATATATATATATATATTTAATCGATAAATTTATGTGTGTGTATAGCTATATATGTAGATATTTTTTAATTAATTGCGACTTGTTCTCGCGTTCCTCGAATAGTAATGCCGTCAGTCGACCAATCTGCGCTCTGCCCTCTCGTCCATCCTGTGAAATAATTATATATATCCATTGATGTTTCATATAAATTTTTCGTTTATTTTACCTTACATTAAGAATTATAGAATTTTGATTTTCATCATTACAAGTTTGCGTAATTAAACAGTAATTAGTTGATATCGAGAAAAAGCTAGACAATAAGATTTTTCATAAAATAGTGAATTAAATCTATATTTGTTTTACTTTATACTAATGCATTAAAATTTATTGAAATTAGATTCTAGAATATTACTTTATGTTTGAATTTTATTTAGATCTCTATCGTGATAAATATAATTTTTATTAACAGGATTTAAAGTTTAAAATTTTGTACCAAGTCTATAAATGTACTTAGTATAGACTAAACTACATGTGATATTGGTTATTAAAAAAATTTGTTTATATGTAATTCATTAGAAAATACGTAGATTTTTTATATTACATTCATTTAAGTGCATATATTTACCTGATATTAGGTTTTATCAAGGCTCAATGATAGCCGTTAGTGAATGCTGCTGGTATCAGAGGACCCTGTAAAAAGGTAAATATAATTTAAACATTAGAATTTGCATTGGAATTCATTGTTTCAAAATATGATATTTTTGGAATAAGAATTTTATGTAAAACAACATTTTAAAATAAATTTATTGAAATTATTTTATTATAATATCACTAATGCATGCAGAATTTTTTACAAAAAGATGTTTATTTTAGGATTCTACTAAAGATTCATGTGCCATATACATCAAACATACAATGAATATGTATAGAGTGCAACTAGTAAGTGAAATCATTCATGTTTATTTATATTGTTATTAATGTTGTATTGTGCAATATAATGGTAGTTAATAAAGCGTCATTTTATACGAAAGCATTTATTTTATAATTTAAATTTGAATAATATAATAAAGTATAAATAATAAATCTGATATAGTGCTGCATGAAATGAAAATATTGGTAAAGTCTCGAAAATTTTATACGACTCATCGTTACAGCAGTTTTGCAAAAATAAAGAATAGAGAATAGAGGATAGAGATTCAGATATCGTGATTAATGAAAAAGCAACTTAGTTGACAGATGACCAATGATTCGTCAATCAAGCATGCACAAAAAATAACGAGATGTATCGCCTAAGGCTCATTACACTTCAACATACATCCCCACTCTCGATAATCCCTTTTCTCCTGATCCCACTCGTTCACTCCCTCCAGCTTGCAATTTTATCAAATATCGTGATAAAAGAACACGAAAGAAAATGATAATTGAACCATACAGTTAGTAATAAAGTAGTATTTTTTATATTGGACCACATGTTTTATATAGAAATATAAATTTTAGTTAATTTATTTAAATGCCCATTTCGTATTTTTAATCCATCATACATACATTATTAATAATAATAAATTAAGAACATTATACGGAGCATAAAAAATATTTACTGAAAATCAATTAATTAAACAATAAATATTAAATATATGTATAAATAAATAGACTTAAGTTGTCAATTTTCAAATGAATTTATTGATTCTATTACTCGGTATTCTCGGCGTATATGTAATATTATCCAGTTATTTATTAATTCAGAGTTTCATACTTGATGATAATTCATCAAATCTACTTTAACACCTGATACTTATTCTCTCAAAGAGACGCTAATTAAATAACAGTAATTCATGCCGTCAAGGTTGTGTCATAATAAAATTTAATCAATAACAATATAATAATTAAAATGTTTACGCATAAATTCAGGCTGTAATTAAATGTATGGTCTTTTCAATCGATCTAGTCGCGAGATTCCTATTCAAAGCATAGGGTAAAGATAAATAAAATACAAGAGTGTAAATGATTTCGAGGAGACGTTTAATCGCGAGTGTAACGACGGTCGAGGAAGCATTAACGAAGCCCGTTGTTAAAGCAGTAAGAGAGATAAGCTGTCGACTTACGGGACTGTAGTTAAGTGGAGCACGAGATACGGCGATGGCTGGGAATGCGGTGGTAGGTGGCTGGGGGCTGGCAGCCGCCTGGACGTAGCTGGCCACTGCTGAATCCGCGGCCGCAGCGGCCGCTGCGGCGACGGCACTCGAACTATACATGTCAATAGGTCCGGGTGAATTAGCAGCTGGGAAGGAGCGGCCCTGGGGACCTCCGTGGCCGCCGGCGCCATGGGGCGAAGCAGGCGGGAAGCCGGCTTGAGCCGCCGCTTGGTAATTGTTCATCACTGAAAATTGAGCAAAACCCCGATTAGTGGAGTGCCTTAATCATTATGGGTAAGCCTGCATCCGAGTTTGTGCGGCCGATGGCATTCATTAGTAAGCTCGATCCACTTTATGGATATTTGCGCATGTCTGGTGACTTGAAATTCGCGGCAAAATGTCCTTTAGCACAATTCCTTGAGTATGTTGATGTTGAACATTTTCATCTCCTTACTTCGTCATTCGAAAGACCGACTAAATTAGATAATTGGGAAAAGGAGACTTTGCGTCATGTGTTGGTACTTAAAGGCTTTTCAAATCAGAGTTCAGGAATTAGTTGTAAAAACATTAGCGTTAATAATATTAAATTTATAAGCAGAAGATATAAAATATTCTTTACCTGAGAAATGCAATATTGGACGAGGGTAGGATTAGAATAAAACATAATTATCATGCAAGAATATAAAACAACTCTCTTCCGCAACATAATAATGAGATTAAATTTATATATTATGGAATTTAAAATATATAATTAGAATAAAAATATTAATAATGACTTTATGTATCATTGGTTTCGGAATCAATATTCTTAATTTCTATTGATATAAATGATAAGACAAAAGCCAATTCATTTAGGCTCAATATTATTATTCTTTCGTAGGTTTGATTAAGTAAGTCATTGCAGACTTTACTATTTTTAATTAAGTATAACAAGTAATTAAAATCAATGTCAAATCAACAAAAAAAAAAAAAAAAAAAAACGATGCAAGTCTTTTCGAATCATTGAATAATGTATTAAAAAGACATTAATTAACATTAGAATTTCGAGGAGTTGATTGAATTAATTTTGAGCATGAACATTTTGAATGCAATCTTTATATTACAAATTAAATTCAATTTTGTATAAACAAATGTTTTTACTGTACTTATATGCGTTATAAATTTTAAGCACTTTAAATTAATTTTCAACGCTTGTTTTATATATAGTATGTTGATTAATCAAGTTTAAGGGATCCCAATTTAATATGAATGAATTTAATACGAATGTAAAATTATTCTTTCATACATGAGCAAAAAACTTATTGATTCTTTCAGATACGAATGTTAACCACGAGAACTTTCAACGATAGTGCATTAGACTATGCACTTTTTTATGCCGAACAGTGTATAGATGGATAACCCACAACGGCTCTATATGAATCTTTTGTCTGATACGATGCCTTTCTCCCTCCCATTTACTGATTAACGACCCAGTAATTTTCCAGGGGCACATGAGTATTAATATGTAAGATTATTTGTAGGACATGATGCAACTGAATATCAAAAGTTTATAAAATTATATGCATAAAATGTAAAAAAATATATATGTAAAAAATTCAAAAGCACCTACAATAATGTCTATAAATATAAAAATATAAAATACAAATGGGTTGTTAATGTATAAAGATTATGTTGTCATTCGGAGCAGTACAAGAATATTTTTCGATTTGTCATGATATAAAAGATAGAATAAGAACGTTTTTAAAGGCATATATGAAATATAAGTATACTTATGTTATATGTACATACGTACAGTCCTACATGCACACATAGCTTTATTATTACATAATTATATTTTATTTTTAATATAAATAAATTATTATCATTTTTTATCTTTTCATGTTAAGTATAAATGTGAATTAAAATTTGCAATTATAGATTGCTGAAAATTAGAAAAAAGAATTTCTAATTAGTAAAAATAAAATGCATTTTTTATAATCGTGTTATGAATATTATTTTTAAATATGACAATAAATACTGTAATGTTAAATATATTTTAATAAATAATAAAAATGAAATTAATTAATGTTTGTGTAAAAAGAGAATTGTATATCTCTTTGTAATAAAAATATAGTATGATATTAATAATTGAATTTATAAAGATAAAGAGGTCATGGTATACAACACATGAATGCATTTAAAATAATTGTTCCTATTATAATAATAAAATTATAAAATCTATTCAACGATAAATAGATGCGATTAATTATATTTTATTCATATTGTTATAACAATGTATATAATTCAGTTAAAATTCAAGATAAATAATTGTTAATCGTATTGAAGGCGTAAGACATATGTTGTAGGTACCCACAAACATTAAATTTTATGAGTAAATAGAATCCATTAAAAATATAAAAATGAAATGACTTATCGAAGTCAGACAATATTAATTGATACAAGTATATTTTATTTATTATTTATTTATTTATTATTAATCTAAATTATATTTTATTCAGAAATCCGTTTGCTTAAATTAAACGTTTAAAACTATTATATAAAAAATTTTATTTAACATTCAATATGCCGTTATCACAATTTATATAGCATATTATTCGATTATAGTATCAGAGTATTTTTATCATAATGGTTACAAATTTCATTGGCTACTAGTTATCTAGAAATATTATTTTGTTTATAGAAAAATATTTGGTACAATATGTCAAGTTACAAGAAATTAAGTCAAATAAAACAAAAAATTTGTATATATATATATATATATATATATATATATATATATTTTGCCATAAAAAGAAATATAGAATGGAGGGAGAAAAAGGTATATATATATATATATAGTTTGCCATAAGAAGAACTTGAAATTGGAGGACGAAAAAGGGCGATCAATGGATGGTAAACCGATTGCCCAAGCGCTCAGCCTGGCACACAATCTAAAATCCCATTCGGCTTTTAAACTCTTGATAATGCTGCGACGGTTATAAAGTCTTTTGCCGACTCAAGATGGGTCGATGTAAAGTCTTGGGCTCTGGGAATAGCGAAAGAGGCGGTGCCATTCAAAAGTTTGATTTATTTGAGAAGAGATTGCGAGTGGCAAGGAAAAGGCTAAGGATAGATCGGCTCAAGTAGGTATCTCCAATAGCAGGAGTAGAGGTGAAACTGTAGGTGCTTTATCGGAAACTTCTGATGGTTGTGAAAATGGTTCATGTGCACGACCTAAACGGAATTAACTACTGTTGTAATACCTGCAGGATCGCTTCCTCATCTCGATATTGCTTTAAAGTTATTTTTCTAACGCGTCATTTAATTTATTGCGTAAAAGCTTTACATATACAAAAATATTATTGCACACATCATGTTAAAATGTAAAATACTAAAAAAACATTATTATTTTGTTATTACAATATTATTTATTTTTATTTGACTTTTATCTTATTATTTCTATTTATTTATATATAAATTCTTTTTCTTATGATGCCATTTAAGATATCATAACAAGTGTGTAAAAGTTGCATTTCATTGTAACATTATATCTATCAAAGAATTATCTTACTAATTCCTTATAAATAATCATTATCTATTTGGTATTCGTAGATAACATTAAATTATTAATTTTTAATTCACAAAACCTTGTGGATAAGCTCTTTGAACTATCACACGGAAATATCAGAAAATAAATTTTGTTATTGTAAATGCAATTGTAAAGTACATTCACAATAGTTGATTATTCAGCGGTAACATGAATCATGGAAAAGAAAGAATCAAACATACCAGAAAGAGCTTGCGTGAGCAAGGGTGTGTTGTTGTTTGGAGTCAGTTGTCCATTGGTAAGATCCACTGAAACACAAAACTCTGGTCACAATTGTTCCTCAACTCAATTTTTGCTCCCTAATGATCGATTTTATTAATCCCCCAGTTTTTATTATGTAATACATTCTTAAATCAAAGAAACGAAGATCAGTAACAACAAAACAACAAAAATGTGAAAAAAAACTAATAAGAACCAAAAGGAAGTACGCTTTAGATTGTCCAATGTGTTGATGATGAGTGTATGTAAAATCCTTGTATAAATATATTTTATAGACATGGAATGATTTCTCATGAAAAAAGTAACGCAAATCTATTTTTTCAACTGTAATTAAATTACATATCTAAGTATGTGTAAAGCAATAATATTGAAGAGTACATTATGAATAATTTTTATATCAAGAGCACTCTTCAATTTTATATTTATTAATTGAATTAATGAAATATTATGTTTTACGACAGATGTATAGATAAATAAATGTTTAGCGCATACAAAAATATAGCGCATAAGAATGACGATGAACCTGAATATAATTTTACCATATACAATTTACATATATATTCAAGTTATGTATACATTATATTGAAACATATTTCTGTGTAACTTTAATAGCCTTCATTAAATTTTTGTAGCTTAATGCGTTACATGCTTATATTGATACAAAAAATTATTTCCTCTTTCGCAGTAACACATCGTCTACACCTCTAATATTAACAATGAATTATGCCAATAATAACAAATACTAGAAGTTGTAAGAATCGACTGATCAGAATCGATCGATACAATAGTACGAAAAAATATAAGCACCAATAATTACGTAAATTTTATGTACTGAAATAATAAAATTTAAACTAAATATCTATTTATTATTAACTAATAAATTTGCAATATGCAGATACGAAGATTACAGTAATAATTTTATATTTATATTTATTTATTATATTAATAATATAAAATAAAATATAATATAGTGTGTTTTACTATAACTTAAAGGATTCTAAAACGAATTAAATCGAAGTATCTGATCAATATTTCATGAAAATCATTCAATCAATAGAAAGAACATGGCATTACTGATGCAGTTAAAATTATAAGAATTACATTATATATATATATATATATATATATATATATATATATATATATATATATATATATATATATATATATATATATATATATATCATTATGTTACAAACCTTAAGTCTAAAAGAATTAAGAAGTGAATAAATGGAAGAATCTGTGAAAAATTGACTGTACCAAACTTCCAATTGAAAGGCCACTTTAATAATAGAATTTATAAAACCGAATTTGCTTGAAATTTCTTGTATGCCAGATTAGCTAATACAAGTCTTAATATACCTGACAAATCGACGAGCTTTATTTCTGCTTTTGGGTTTTCCTTTTCAACTGCAATAAAAATTATAAAGGTTGATTAGATTTACTGTGAATATCACTTATTTAAAGTGATATGAATAGTTTTCAATGGAGCGGAATATTGTTCGTACTATATTAAGAAAAAGAAGCTGTTGCGATTGCGATTTAAACAAATGTTACCAACTATAAATAAAATACAATAGTATAATAAAATAAGTTTGCTATTACTTCAGTTTCTAGTAATTAGATGATTAAACTATTAATATTTATATAAAATTGAATGATAATACACTAGTATAAATAATAAATACATGTGGCACAGATTGTACGAGTATACTCTTCTTAAAATTTACTGTATTATTGCATCTTATTGCATCAATAAGTTAATAAATATGAATGAAAATAATATTGAATAATATCATGTAATATTATCTTTATAAAATTTTATCTTTATTTATAATTAATTATCATCATAGCTTACAAATAAATTAATCGGCGATTAAAGAAATATGTAACATATAATATAATAATCTTTAAATTTTATTGCATGATCAAAGTAGCATAAATATTAATTGTTTTGGCAAAATTCTTCAGAATATTGGACAAGTCTATAAAAAGTATTGATGATCGACTATTTTCATATCTCGATTCGTTTGGAAATTATCTACGAGTGTATATGGGCTCGCACATATTGATGACACGCGTTTGCCTAACCAATGCATCGTTGGTGTTCCTACATTGATTTATGTTAAATCAAAGTATAAGGAAGAAATGAAATGATTGCATACGTACATAAATATACGTAAGAGAGATGTAGGCCAAGAGTTCATCTATTTCGAGTATGCATCTCTTGCTCTGACGTAAAAGCGATCAAGATACCGTATAAAGACAGCGAATATACTCGAAATCCTGTGAAATAAAGCTAGGCTTCCTCTTTATCTCTTTCTTTTTCCCTTTCTTCCTGCTTTCCCCTTTTTCATGACTCCCACTACTACACACTCGAAGGGATGTGCCTTCTTGAGAGTGTCAGTAGGAGGCTTTTCCCTATGTACTCGCTCGAAGATTCTTATCCAAATCTGTGGAAACCAGCCGACTTTTACTGACAGTGCAAATACTCTATGCAATGATATCCCCCCCCCCTCTGTCTCTCCCTCCTTCTTACCATGTCTCTTTCTGTCACTCGCTATCTATCTATCTATTTATCTCTATTTGGCTCACTGTCTTTCTCTGTATATCATTCGTTTTCTTCTCTATTTTATTTCACTGAAATTTCTACCAAATTCGTGAAGCCTTTGACTTTTTTAGAATTCATTCGTAAAGATGGAACTATGCAGCAGATACCGAAGTAAAGTTTTTCCTTTGATAATATCTGTTATATCCTGCAAAATTTTGGATTTCATGAACACATCTTCGTAAATAGAGAAGTCTATATTCAAATATGAATCGTGAAAAGGCTTTTCGTTATCTATATTCATTATACACGTTATTACCAAATTTATCTGATTTAAATCAATAATAATAAATAAAATATAATAAGTAAATAAAAATAATAAATAAATAGTAATAAAATCATTATTACTGATCATTAAACACTAACAATTTCTCAATGCTAGTAAAATTTTAGAATTAAATTTTAGCGAATTTTGGAAATTTGATGATTTGTAAATGATTCTTTAAAATATATTTTGTTATAAATATTTATCAAAAAGAATATTTCATCAGATTTTTGTGTGAAAAATTCAACAAATATATAATTTAATGTTTTGTGATACTACTGTGACTGCTTTTGTCTTGTACCCTTTTATTCTTTATCTCGCAACACATTGGACCTTTAGTAAAAATATATTTTTCTACAATGAAAAAATTAAAATATCAATTCAATTAGTATGGTAATCAAAAAAATAAAAAAATTAATACGCTAAGTAAAGATGAATAATAAATTAATATTATTCT